AATTTCCCTGTTACTTTTCCAGCTTATGAAATAAGAAAATTATCACTGGAGGAAAAGCAGGAATATTCCCTCAACCTGCTAAAAATCAAAGAAACAGTGTAGAAACAAAATTTCAAAATAAAACTTACACAGTCCTCTAGCATGATGAAAACACCAGACTAAGAAGGTACAGCCCTCCTATGAGGTCATGTTACCTGAAGTTAAAATAAAAACCAATAACATTTTGTGTTCATGTGTGATCTTCAATACCTAATGGCCCCTCATGTTGTGTCAGGTTAGGAGGTTCACCCAAAAAGCATTACTTGATAAAATACTGTGAGGAACTCTACTTACAGGTGTTGACCTCACATAGCATGAGGGCAGATGCCAGTGAAGCACTGTCACCACCTCAGGTGAAGATTCACCCCATTTCCTTAACAAACCTGATTTACATCCTTTTTTTTTCCTGGAGCTGTGTAAGAATGTCAGGACCTGACCTACTCTGAACCTGCTTGCTGTGGGACGGGAGTGCCATTTTTTCTTACTGCAACTTTCATCTCTGAGATGAGGAAACAACCACTAGGGATGTCAGTTTTATGGCATGTCCTAGAATGATTTGAGACAGGAAGCTCCTTTTCTGAGATGAAAAGGCAGTTTTCTACTGAGTGTCCAAGGCAAGCTACAGGAAAAGGGTTATTAGCACAATAAAAATCATGAATGCTTCACAACCATATTCCAAAGCCAGAAACAGCATCCGGATTTATGAGCTATAAATGTTCTCGGAGTCAAAGGAAACCCAGCATCCTTTGACTCTGTCCCTATCACTCTACCTTCTTCTCCTGGGAAAATATGCAATAGAAATAAAATGCATAAATGGGTATGAGAAGGCTGGAGCTGCCCTTTCTTTTCACGTAGGGTTTGCAGCTGGTTATCATAGACAAGTGTCATCTTTAATTACTGCTATAAGCCAGTACAACTGCCACCATATTCCGGCGATTTCTCACACCCAAAAATTCCATCCCTTCACCCCAAGGAAAGTTCTTGACAGAAACTCACAGCTTATGCTAAGAAAATTGGCATGTGCAGGCTGACTTCTCTGGAAGTTTAGCTCAAGCTGATTTAGGGCCACCTGGATATCCTGTCAGATCCCTGGCTGATGAGAATTGCCAAATTAAGCTCTTCCCTTCAATTGTCACGAGTGCCTTATTTCATCTGCAGCCTTGATTGCCCCCTTAAAGTACACCAGGGAAGTACTTGCTGTGCACATCAAGCAGGAAGATGGAAGAGTGCAAAACACAGATCTAGGGTGATTATCCAAAAATCAGACTGCTGAGAAATGAAGCATAATATCAGTTAAAGTGTCACTAAAACAGAGTTATGAGTATAGTCAGGTAAAATACTTGATAATTGCTTATAATTTTCAGTGTTTGGAAAACAATTTCCTGGCCAGATGTTTTCACATTGTATTAGATGTTTCACTCCCTGTCAAGTGTTGTACATTTTCCCTAGTTTATGATTCAAGGTGTTAATCATATTCAGTCTTTCAAGATGATTACCTGGTAGCATTAACATACAAATGCACAGTGATTATCTCTGCTTTTCAGAATTCCCTGCATTTTGCACAAGGAAAACAAATAATAAAAGAAATAAATCAGTCTCCTTCAACTTGCATGATGCCTATTACAAAATGAAATTACTATGAATTCAGAATCTATGAAAATTAGGTATTAATCAACTTCAAAGTACAGAAAACTTTCACCTAAGCTTGAAAGTAGCAATACAGAGTTAGTCTTTCCTGTCTCATAAAACACATTCCTTACCTCCAGGAATCAGACAGTGCTTTCATACCCTATTGATCAGACTTACCAAGTGCTGACTATCTGCAGCAATTTCTGAGGAATACACACCAATTTATGGTATACAATCATGCCAAATTAGGACACTATTTCAGAGTGTAGAGGAAAACACAATCAAATCTCCAGGTTTCCATCGTGAAACAGTAAAAATTACGTAGTTAAATTGGGTCATGTTCAACACCACCTGAATCTAAAAAAACCTAGAGGTTATTTACAAAGGAATTTGATAAAGGCTGTACCATGGGAATACATCTCCAGTTTCCACTGATTTCACATGAAGTATCTAAATTTGCTCCTAGTGGATTAACACAGTCATTTTTCTGTGTCTGAATTCATTATGCTTAAAGGAAACGGGGACTATCACAGCAACAGCTCCGTGCAGAGTCATTGCTAGACAAGCTTATGCAAGACTTGCATTTTGAACCTTTGTCTTGTCAGATTTCTTAATGAGTTCATAAAATAAACTTTAATGTCCATAGCATATAGTCTTGTAACCATGAGGGATCCAAATGGCTCATGACAGGTATCCAGAGAGAGAGAGCACAGGTTTCCTTCACTCCCAGCAGGAATCACTGGTGAATCCAAGGGACCACAGCCTAGGCAGGAACACCAGATCCAGATTTACACCTCCCCCCCACTAATGTGGCCTGGTGCCTTGGCTAACTCCTGCTGCTGTGCTCTGCCCATTGCTCTTGCTTCTGTTTTTCTGTTGGGCCTTTCATGTTACAGCATCAGGGCTGAGTGATTTAAAATTAAATAAATCCGATTAATCTTTCAATCACCTCGGTTCATTTTTATTTCTTTATCCTTTGCTCTCCTACTTGATACTCCCCCAGTCCTTTTGACCCCTCCACAGTTCACAGTTCTGGTATTGAAAGATATTATTTTCAAAGAATATGGGAGAAAAAGCCAGAGGGAAACATCAATGCATCCACATTTCCCTTTGTTTTTCTTCACTGAACTCAGGCATATTGGTACTGCAGACCAACAAACAGCTTCTCTTATCAGGCAGGAGCCAGGATCACCTATTTCAGAGTTTTTCACTATTATCAAAACACCTGGACTCAAAAACAGAAGCGATAAATCATCAAAAGCAGCAAATGAAGGGAAATGTTTCTCTAGGTTCATAAGAAAAAATATTAACAGGAAAGTTTGCACCAAATGCACTACAAATGGGTTACAGCGTTTTGGCAATAATTTATTAGCTCTGATTTCACTGTGATGACACTGCATCTGCTCCTGCTCATTTCTAGTGCTATTAGACAGTTTGCCGCTTCACACTGAACCGTCCCTTTCTTTGCAAGCAGCACCAGCTTCACTGCCAAGACAGACTTCAAGCTCCAATGGCACTGATGACTCCAGGGTGTTTGGGGTGAGGGGCCACCAGTGCCATCTACAAGTTCCAGACAACCAAACCTGTGCCTAAATCGCTCTCCTATTCTGGTGTTCCAGGCTACTTTTGACCATTTGCTAGTAATTTGCATGAAAACAGGACGCCACTTTAAATTTTGCACCTCATAGCCTCATTAAACATAGAATATGCTACTGAAAGAAATGCCATAAAGACAGGGAGAGCCAAAAGAATGAATCCTACATTTTATTCAAGCCACAGGCAAAAGGATTACAAACTTCATGATGTGAAATGATGTCTGCACAGAGTAGGAATGACAATTGAGGGCTGGGCAAGGGATTTATATCCAACAGACACAGTGATGACTGTCTAATGTCTTCAAGTCTACATTCTTAATACATTCCTGCATTTAATATTAATTTTACTTTGCTCTGTATCGATTCCATAATTTATCTATATACATTTGATTTTTTTTTTTCGTTCAATTTTTTAAAGTCTAGCTAAGAAATAAAACCTATGCAGAAACTGCACCAAGCTTTGCCCCCGGTGGCTCACCAAAATCCCTCAACCATTTAAGAAAACCTGCTCAAAAGCTTATCAGTGCACAGCATGTTCTTTCCTTGACATATGGGTTTTTAAACTTTTTCTGGTGCACACCAGTGTGGTCTACTGAGTTATTACCTTAAAGGCTGCATTTTCAATGAAGGAGACTAACTTTTGCTTGGCTGCAAGGCTTGTTGATTGACAAGGGGGAAAAAAAATCCCACACAGTGCTTTGAGGGCACAGGCCCCCATCACTACCTTTCCTAAACCTTGTTTACTTCTTCCTGTGTGACTTCCCAGAGGTAAATTAGCATCCAAGGAAAAAAATCGAAAGAATTTTTTATAAAGCTACCTCAGAAGAAGAACCACTGGCCCAGCACGTATTCTTCTTTCTCGGCCTCATGCTCTGAATTATACATCTTTTAGTCCATAGGACTTTTCTTTAGTTCTACCAGCAGTATCATGTAATAAAATTGGAGGCAAACAACCTTTAACTAGCTCCATTTTAAAGGAATAATTATTTCAGCTCAGCATTTGACTTAGAATTTCAAGCACATTAATCTATATTTACACATGTTGTTATTCCAGATCTTTTTCTGTTAAAACTTGACTGATTATTCAGAAACAATGAAGCAAAGTGAGTGTTATTTCTGGAAAATTAGCCATCTTTCAACACTAGCTAAGAGAAAGTCCCAACAAATGGAACTGTTTGAGGAGTAATTAATGCACTTGATGTCTATTTTTATTGCAGGACTACATGATTAATGAGCTGTCATATTCTTAAGGCATTCCCTGGCGTGTTTCTGTAAGCTTGTTCAGATAATAAGCCTTAAGAGATGAATGAAGCATGTCCTGCCAGATCTGCTGGGATGATTTCCTTGTATGATAACTGGGGGACATGCAGTATCTCAGCTATTCCTAAAAAAAAATTATCTGTCTGCTCATTAATCAAACCTGTCTCACGCCGTGTGAGTGCCGTGACGAAGAAGAGAAGCACGTGACAATAACGCACACGCAGGATCAAACAGTCTGGACTCCCCAGCGTGCGGGCTTCCCCAGGTGAAGGAAAGGTGTGTACAAGATGTTGTCAGCCCTGGGAGATCTCTTCCACAGGGCAGACTGTGCAGTGATCATCACACCACAGATAATCTCAGAGAAAGCAAACAAAATTTACCTAAACCTGATCAACTGTTTTCCAGGATCTTTGGGAGCAGGACTTGTGTTGGGGTGCAGCACAGCCCTCCAGTCACTGTCCTTTGCTGTGGGCTTACCTCAGAAAGAGCAGGTGCAGACAGGACACTGTGCCATCACTGCTCAAGGACTTCTTGACTATGAAGTTTTGCTCCATAAAGCAGGATCAGCGTGGTCAGCTGGGTACTCTTGGCAGGTTTTTCTGTAGAGACAAAGTCAAGGGGTCATTAGAAAGGATTGTTAAGAGAGAGGTATTCTAGAGCAAACAAAGCGTACTTTTAATGCCTCTTTGTCTCATTTGTGGGTGGTGGTGTAGAGTTTTGGCTGGTTTTTTAATTTGCCTTTCTTCAAAATGCAATCTGGACTACGACTTCCCTGACTCAGATATTGCACCTAAAGCCACGTGGGCAGAAGGCACTGCCCAACATTCTTTGCCATCTGAAGTTATGTGGCAAACTCCCGAAATGCACCTGCTGATAACTTGGGAAATTATCCCAAGTGTGGAGCTGGACACACTGAGAGCTGAAACTTGTACCCTGATGGTGCCTCTTCATCTACTGACTAAAGGAGAAAGAGGGCAGCAGAGAAGCCATCCCAACATCTATAATAATAGCTCTGGGTTATTCATCACTAACACCAGCAGCAAATGCAAAATCACCAATTAGAAGTGAAGTCCTATCACCTCCTGGGTTTCTTTCTCGTGCTGTCATGAGCAGAGCTTTAGACTGTCTGAACAAAAAGGATAACTTGTGATACAAGCTGTAAAATTTCACATCACTGTCACTTCAAATGAATTTAGAGAGAAGCATCTCTGGACTGCGGTGTATTGCAAGAAAGTTGCCAGGAAACAAAGCATTCCTTCTTTTTTCTCTTATGTTTCTCTAACCTGGTTTTCCTTTCCCAGTTCCCATTCATCAGATGCAACGGCTTGTCCATCTTATTTTGTACTATATATTATATATTATTACATTATATAATATATTATTATGTATTATACTATATATACTTCGACAGACTACAGGTTTTTGAGATGGTAACTAGGTTTACTAGTTTTCAATTGCAAAAGAAGATAAATCCCAGAACAGCCAGCATTTTTTTATAACTTGTCTCTTTTTGTTCTATTTCTTTTATTTGCCAAGCATAAAACAAAAACCCAAAGTGGATTAAGATAATTTGCACAGTTTATTCCAGCAGAGCAACAGCAAGTTGTGATGCTTTCTCTCAGTTCCTAAATACCTGCAAGACAGGATTTGGCTTTTATGATTTGTTGTTTAGGGTTTTATTAAAACTGGAATTAAAATCTGAAGGGTTCATTTGAACAAAGATGTTTTCAAAACAGAAAGAGTTATTGTGGGGTTAGTTGCAGAGAACCCTGATAAAGATCAGGAAAAATGGCTGCAATGATTACAGCTCATCTCTCCACTGAAACCTAGGCCAAAACCAGAAAAATTGAGTCTTCTAATTAGACTGCTATTTTTACAACAAAACCATCCTATGTTGGTGCTTATTAAACAGCGAAGCCTGTCCACACCAACTAAATGAAACAAATTTCTAATACCTGAGGAAATAAACAGAGGACAGGGAAAACCTCTTCCTATTCATTTTCCAGCTAATTGCGGGGGATAAGCTTTACTAGAAACATTTTTGCAGAAAAAAAAAAGTGTGGCTTAGTACGTGATTTATTATGATGCAAGGGAATGCACATCTAAGTTTACAACAAGAATTAAGTCCAATATTATCGGATAATTAATGTGACATTGACAGAGCAGCTTGCTGTATGCATACATTACTTAGCAAGTCTGAAATATATTTGTCCTTTCCCAATAACCAGCTGCACAATAAATCACAAAAGCATTTTTTGTATCATTCTGCAAACTACAGCTTCAGGACTGACAGCATTAAATCAGGTAATTTCCAGCTCCCAGGATCCGTGAAGTTTTTCTGAACGTGGAATTTAACCATGGAAGGCACTTAGGCCTAAACAGAGCAAAACATGGCACCACACAAGCTACCACAAAGAAAATTCCCTCTCTCCAGCCCAAACCAGTGCAGCCTCACACACACACCTGATGGCAACACATATCAAACAAGGTTGTTTCACTTCTGGAATCTGAATGGCTAAGACCTCCTGGAACAAGAGAGGCTGAAGAAAACTCATCTCTCCTTTACTCATAGGACAGATTTTGGGGGCTTTTCATGTGTGTGTGGGAGAAATAATACTCTGTAGTCTGAAAAAGAAAAGATGAAAACAAATACATGAAAACACAGCTTTCTTTTTGGAATTTACAGGTGACTTTTCACTAGGCTGCCTTTCAGCATCAAATTTTTTGACAGACTGAAAAAGTAGTGAGGTTCTGGAATCTTAGAAAGTTTTCAAAAAATTAAAAACCAACAGAGCAAACAAAAACATTTGCTAGAAAATAAAACAAGCTGCATCAGTACAAGAAGGTAAAATAAGGCAAATCTGTCCGGAGGGGACACTAAGAGAACACTGTTCCTGTCACTCCTTAGAGCAGAGTTAATCAGGACTTGACACCAGAATCACTTCTCAATCAGTACTTAAGTGCTACGCCAACACAGAACATTAGGAGGAGAATAAACAAGTGCTGGAGAGTATCAGAGAGCTCCTGTGTCAAGCTGCCTGCAAGGCTCATGTCCCGTTCTGCTCTGGGCAAGACCCTATAAAGCTGCTCTCTCCTAAGAGAGGGCACGGCTGCTGGGCTCCGCTCAGGTTCAGCTCTGCCGTACGCAACCACAGCCCAAGCACAAGCTAAAAGTGCCTTTATCGCTCCTTGGAGCTCTCCTTGGAAAAGCGCTGCCACCACAGGTTTGGTTTCAGGTGCCGTGTGCCCGAGCACAGGAAGGCCAGGGCTGGGGCCGAGCAGGCAGCGGGCTGGGAGCCCCGAGGAGCCCGGCAGCCAGGGTAATGAAGGAGCCGGCAGAAATTGAAAATAGCCCCGCTTCTCCCGCAGTCAGTACCCGGCATTACCGCCTGATGGATTGTAGCTACTGACAGGTGACAGAATAATTTGTCTTTTATTCAACTCCAGCGCTGAATTATTGCAAGTTGGAGTTGTCTGTGGCCTAGAGGGAGACATTGTGCCGGAGTTTCATTTGCTGTTATTGAAGGCAAGAGGTTTATAAAAGTTAATGAAATACAGCCAGCAAAGAGACTGCAGAGGGTCTCAATCTCAGCAGCAGCAGCAGCACACAGATGCCTCTTGCCATTACACAGGGTGGCCAAAAGGCATCAGTTTTGCAAGCCGTGGTGCCACAGATAATATTTAACTTTTTCACTGGAACTGCTCTTCTTCTATCGTTTGGCTAGCTGCTAGAGCTGTTCGTTTCCCTGACATTTTTTAATATTTTAAGTCATGCACAGCAAGCTTATAGAGCAGACACTGAAATCAAGACAACAGCCCAGTGCTATTAAATATTTCTATGCCTTAAGAGACTGCCTCAAGCAGACCAAGACTACAATTAGCACACTTTAAAATCTGCAATTACAGACATGTCCTGGTGTTAGGGAGATGGTCTTTACCTAATGAACAAGCTGCATATGGACTCTGACTACAAAAACTGTAAATAATTTCTAAAAAACTTTCTGACAGTTAAAAATTTAATCCCATATGAGGCACAGAAAAGCATCTAATCCTAGTGTAAGACGAAAAGCACTTTGACAGAAAAAAAAATTAACATTACTTCAGAGCCATCACCAAAGGACTTAACACCTGTTTACACGGCTTGGTTGTGTAGGTTTAAAATAAATCTCACTAATACTTTGGGAAAAAATCATGATGCTATTTGCTTTCTGGGACATAAAAAGAGATTAAAATGTCAGGAAAAGCATCAAGTTTTCTAAGATGCACTATTTACTGATAATGGCCTAATAACTTTCTCTCATTACAAAGGAAGATGATTCTGTAGCAAAATATCCATGGATATCCAGTCTGATGAACTCCATCTTTAAAGCAGCAATGCTTCTCCACTAGAACAACTTGAGGAAAAGAATTGCTCACACTTTTCTCAGTTAAATGAAACAAAGGCAAAAAGATTGACCTTGAATGTCACTTTTATTACAGCAGCTCCTTCAGCTTTGCCATAAAGCTCCAAGGTTACCAGTGCTCTGGAACCCAATTACACTGTACATCACCAGCAGCGCTGCTCTGGCTGCTGAGCCATTTCCTGAGCTGGAAACATCAAGCAGGCTCCAAAAGAGTTTCTCAGTGCCTTGCCTATAAAAACTCAAAGCCTGTCTCTCTGATATCAGAGCTGCTGCCTGCACAACTGAGCAGCCTCTCAGGGAAGATCCTCCCCCTAAACTGCACAACACTGAGCTACTTGTTCTTCACCTGAACTCTCTCTCCAATAATCTTCACACTTTGCCCCTTCTGCAAGCACCAGAGCAGAGCTCCTGCTGGAACACCACCTAACCCCCTTTCCATCCCCTGCAGCTGATTTTCTAGGGAAGTTAAATGTTGCAGTAATTCTTGTTCTGCTTTTGATCATCTCAGTCAGAGAGACAAAGGAATAAACAGAAAAACATAGTGAAAAAACACAGGGATGGGTGTATAGGAAGCCAAAGGGGACCACAGAAGAATAACTGCTTGAAAGGACTAAGAGAGGTGAGAGGAAGGGAGAGTGTGAGTGTCAGAGGGAGGGGAAGGAAGTGGCTGAGCAGCACCTCAGGTGAAGCTTTCCTGTTGTTTTTGATTTCTGCTATGAGCAAAGCTTCTCTCCAGTTAAGAAATGAGCTTTTTCCAACTACTACAGAATAAACCCCTACCCACATAACCCCCTGAACTTCTCATTCATCCCTGGGTGAGCTCTTAGTTCTACTGCAGCCAAGCTCTGCTGTGCAGCACCCTCCAGTCAAGGCCCCTTATTCATATACATACATAAAAACATAAAAACAGTACCTTGCTTTCCAATTTATTTCCAGGTCCCTTCAGTTTTCCTTCAGCATTAATAGCAGTGAGATATCAAGCATTATGGGTTTTAACTTGAAGGCTTCTGTGTGTCTGAGCAGGCACACTCTCACCTTTAAAAAATTGGAGGCTGTTCCTCACCTGATAACATTAGGCTCTAAGCCAGGATGAAAATTTCCATTGAAAAGAGGTTCTGGGGCAAACAAGCTTTATATAACTTATAAGACTTGTAGAAAGTTAACAATGTATTCAGAGCAAAAAGAAGAGAAAATTTTCCTGCTGAAAACTGATGTAGGAACAAATAGAACTTGAAGAATAACTTTGATGTTCTATGAACTATTTTCTTTCATCGTTATGCTGTGCTGCAGATTCATTTAGTATATCCCAGCTACTCTTGGCTCTGTGGAAATGTAATCCTATTCACTCCAAGTAAAACAGATTTTTTTTTTCCCCAAGAATAAGCAGGATTGCATCCTTGCAATTACATCCCCAAGAGTTACCCATGTACATTAAGAACTCTTGTTAGGAGTAGTTTTATCAGCATGTCATTTCACAAAAGACTAGATGCTATATAAATCCCTGGAAATGATTGTATTAAACATTTTAATACTCTCTATACTCCATTTTCACTGCAGTGAAGAACGCTGCACGAATATTTGCCCACAGTGTTCTGCCTGAAGATACCCACTAGCTCTGCATTGGTGGAGAAACATGCTCAGGTTTCCAAAAAAGAAAAAATGTTTCTCCTGAAAGTTTAAAGCATTTTCTTCTTCCTTCTTGTTCGTTCTTTGATATACCATCTCTGTATACCTGCTTTTATGCTGCTCTCTAATCTTGTTCAAGCACTTGAACAAGTTGTTTTGGGGGGAAGTTTTTCTTGTTTCTTTCTTGGATCAGTTTGTTACACTTTTTAGAAAATCTGCTAATTTGGTTTGGGGTTTTTTTTTGGTGTGTTTTTCTTTGTTTATTTTGTTTTCCTTTTGCTTTCCCAGATTTGGATTATTTATTCCAAATTATCTAGGTTCTCTTTTCTCACATTTTCCCCTTTTCTTCTATCCACAAAACCAGGCTGTCTTCACGTTTTCCAAATGCCACAATAGAAGTTCTGAAATCACAGGAGACTCCCCTGGAAGCTTTTGTACAATTGTACAGAATTGTGTTTGCCCTAAAGGATACTTTGTAGAAAATTCTGAAGGTTAGAATGTGCTCAAAGCTGATGTTCATTTTTTTTTTTTCTGCTAAACCAAGCACAAAAACATTGAAATGCTTTTCAGATTATTGAGAAAATTGATAGTCTTCAACAAGCAAGACTCACCTTTCAGAACCTCACCATGAAAAAAAGCTCTACAGGATTCCTACTCGTTTAACTTTGCCTCCAAAGCAGGAAAAACAAGTTTTTATAGCAGAAACACAGACCACACCTTCTCTGTCCTTCTAAAAATGACATAGAAAAACATAATATGCAGACAAATTTGAATACATGTCATCAACCAGACACTACACACTGAACCAGACATAGCCATAACCAAGGGATAAGGTTAATCCCATGTCCCTCATTTATTCTAAACCAGAAGAAACCTCCTCACAGGAAAGACTGAAAAATAGGTGATGAACAAAATTAATAATAATAATAATAAACATAATAATAAACATAATTATAACAATAATAACAACAGCAATAATAATAACAATAATAAGTATTTAATTGATGACCCCAGCCTTGCCAGGCAGTTTGTCCATTTCCACCTCTACCCTGTGTCTGAAGGAGCTGTTTAAGGGGCATGTTTGTTGTGCCACCACTGCACACCAGGATGGGAGTGCAAGGTTTCAGCTGGAGCACTCAGTGCTCCCTGTGGCTAATACTGACTGACACTTCTCAGTGCTTGCTGTTGATGATAGTTTTGCAAAAGCTAAACTAGTTAGAGTGTAATAGCCCATGCTCGACAAGCGCCTCAGGCCAGTATTTCAGCTGGAAGTTCCTGCTAGAACAGCCTGTCATTTTCAAGAAACATTATATTTTTCTCTTCACCTTCTTTGCCTTTCTCCCCACCCTTGAAGACTTTGTTTCATCCATACTGAATACACAGCTATTTTTATTCAGCTATCATCAGATTTCCATACACATGCTCAAGGCACTGGAGTTTGATGGTGTATGCTAAAGGTCATCCACCTACACATTAAACTAGTTTTATATCTATAAGCATTCACCTATATACAGAAAAGCCAAGTGAATAATTTTTTGTTGTTGTTTAATTAGAAGTTTTAAGTCTACTGACTCTGATTTCCCAAAGCACTAAGCTTTTAAAAAAAAAATTTACATGCACAGAACATACAACACCTTGAGGTTAATCAACATTATTTGCATTTGATTCTCCCAGGAAACGAGGGAGGGTCTTAGAGAAAGAACTTCTGCATAATCAACAGAACCAAGCAGAGCTGCATCTTAACTATTTATTTGTTTTATTTTAACTGTTACATTGCTCATACCTCCCATCTAGATATATGCCAGTGATTCAGTTCAACATCTGTGTGACTTGATGAGTCCTGGAAAAACTCAGCTGTGGCTGCAGCCTGTGTAATGCTGCAGAGCAATGGGTGCTCACAGCCCTGTTTCTCTTTCCTCTCATTTTTTCCTTGTCTCTCCCTTTCTCTGCCCTCACACCTCTGCTCATTTCGCCCTCCCACACTGTACCCAAGTCCAGGAACAGACACACCTGATAATTCTGCACTACGAACGTGGTGACTCCATTCAGCCTAAGTGTGTCTCTGCCCATTTTTGCAAGATAGAGGAACTTGAGGATCCCTGAAAGTAAAGAAGTTGAGAGCCAAGTCAGAAATCAAACAGCCAGCAACACTTTTCTTGTTGGACTGCTGTTCAGCCCATGTAGAAGTTGGCTCAGTGCACTGGGTTTTTGATTCTTCCACACCTACTGACTGAAGCAGACACTGGCCTTGTGAAAGAAGGCTTTTCTGCAGCCCACACATCCATTAATCACAAGAAAGATTTCAGATTTTTATTATGTTTGCTCAGAGCAACTGAATGAATAGTACCTGGAGAATTTCATTAAAACATTGCCACAAGGGAAAAAGACAACTGACACTTCACATTCACCACAAAATGCGCTAGGTTTCTGTTTTGTGGCATGCAAAGAGAAATCACAGAACAGTTTGGGTTGGAAGGGACCTTAAAGCCCATCTAGTCAACTCTCTGCCATGGGCAGGGACACAATCCACTAGACCAGGTTGCCCCAAGCTCCATCCAGCCTGGCCTCAAACACAGCCAGGGATGGGGCAGGCACAGCTTCTCGGAGCAAAAAATGGGGAACACCAATAGAACGGCAAAGTATTCCGCACACATTTGCAGATAAGTCATGAAGAAAACTCCTCCCCCTTTAAACTTTCCATTAAGAGCTACACCTAGTTTAATTGAAAGCGAGTCTTCCACACCACAATGGACATTAAATTTTCAGCTACTGTAGCTTTTAGACTCCTTGTCACAGGAGGGAACCCTCATGACAGTCATTCTGTGTGGCGTTGCGTGCATTTATTTTTTACATTCAGCCATTGACAAACACCAGTGTGTAAGAGTTTCTGAAGTGGATGTCCCTGCAGAATAGAAACCATTGTCGTTTTGGCAATTAAGAAAAGTCCTCAGCTTCAGCCTTGTTTAAGATGGGAAACACTCAAAATTACATGACCTGCCTTTCTCTGTTATGGGTCTTGTTTAGGCAATGTGGTTAAAGAGCTGTCAGTTCCCATCAGAGGGGTATTTCTGCTGCAGGCTGCTTGGACCATCTCCTCTCACCAGGAGAGAGAAAGGAAAGGGTCAGAAGCAGACACAAGTTTCTTCTAGCAGCTTTCCCAGGCAGGGATTTGGAGCATTTCATCACCACCCATGACTGGCTGGGTCCAGTCAATACTTTGTACTCTGGCTCTCAAAACTGCATCCAAAAGAGAGAAATGTGCTTTCTTTAGATAAAGATTCATTTTGCTGTGTCAAACCCGAGGCCTTCTCCCCGCTGTGCACCGATCTGAGACTCAGCACAAAGCGGGGTTTGTAACACGATCTGACCACGGGGAAGCCAAGCTGCTTTCAGAGAGACCCGCAGATTTGGGAGGCTGTGAGCCCGAGCAGCCAAAATCTTTAAGGGTCCTCCCCAACATCTTCTGAACTGATTTGTAAGTCTGACTTGCAAAGTCATTGTTGAAAAGTCCCCAACGTGCATTTACAAAGCCAGCAATAATAAGCCCTAATGGGATGTGAAATGGTGTCACAAAACCCAGGGCCCAAACATTTCAAGGCCCCAGGACAGAGGCCGGCTGGCATAAAAGAAAATTTCTTGTACACAAAGCTTTAAAAGCTTTCAAGGCTTGCGGTAAGTTTTTGCATTCATTCATTTCCCCCTCCTTACACACTCCAGTGGCTCAGCCCTCTGCAGTTACCTTGTACTTTAACTACTTTATCAACAACTTGTTCCAAAAAGATCAAGTTTCACAGCCCTCACACAAAACACTACGTCTTCCTGCTACCAACAGCCAAGTTTTGTCTAGGCTTACACCTTTCATTTCCTTTTCTCCTCATTTTTTGTAGTTACAGCGTAGGACCTAATCCTTATCCCTTTTGACTGAGGCAACACTAAAATCAAGGTATTTCTAAGCAGATGCTTGCCAGTTTACAGGAGGCACAGAACTTCCCAAAGAACTTAAAACGATTTGCTTCTATTAGAGATAGTTCTGTACCTAAGAGTAAGAGCTAGGCAAAAATGTAACTCAGTTGAGATACATGTAATCTGGTAGGTTTGTGCTGAAAAAAACAGGCGTGGATTTTTATACAGAGTAACCTCGAAGTCAGCTGAAAAAGTAACAGCCCAACGCTGCTTCAGAATTACCCAAAAGAAAGGTAATTCTTTTTTCTTTTTAAGAGCTTAAGAGCATTATAACTAAAATGTCGCATTTATTTTATATAGTAAGAACATTTTAATTTTTACTTCAGCAACTAAAGGCTAAGAAAAGCCGTCAATACAACTGCACAAGTTTACCCGATAAGAAAACCGAGACAATGGTCATAAAGAAGCCAGGATAAAGGAATTCTTAATTAGCCCTGTGCCCTTACAGCTGGAAAGAGCAGCCTGAGTGAATACATGGGCCTGCTTTTATCTTAGGTTCACCTGCAACACCTGGTTGGCACTCGAAGGCATTTCATCTCTTGCCTTCACAGCAGCTCAAGCGTTTCAGTATTGAAGCTGAAAATGCCCAACTTGGACATACATACCAGAATTTACATAGCACGGCAGACTTGAAATAAATCAAGACATAAATAACGCTTTCTGTCACTGTTCTCAAATGCGCTTAACACACACAGTGACACATGTAACACATATACCTCAGGGAGATATTTTGGAAGAGAGATATCAGGCTGCCCCCCATGGCTAGAAGACACACCAGTGCCTGTGTTAACTGGGAAGTTAACCAAGCTGCTCAAACACGTGAATTAATGGCATCCTCTCAACACATTAGCATTGTATATAGCAAATATATTTCTGACCTAGCTATTCTGCCGTTAAGGCGTGTTAAGGGGGGGAAAGAGGGAACTAAAAATTCAGTACGAAGCCAAAAAGCTCACCGTAGCCCCCAGGGAAGGAGACAGAAACCACATCAGCCCACACAGCCCCAAGAGACCCCTGTGGTCCTGTCCCCACCACCCTGGCCGCCCTGAGAGCCCCTGCATCGTGGCACCACAAGGCTGCACCCACTGGAGCCCACCGGGGAGGCTCCAGAGCCCTCAGCACCGAGCCATCACGGCCTCACCG